AGTGAAATGAAACTACAGTGTATATATAAAATGAAACTGAATAACATTTCACATTTGAGTGTATATTGTACAATGAAGCTGTAATTATATCAAAATGATCATGTAGTTGTATTTTAATAAAACTATAGTGTATATAAAATAAAATTAAATAACATTTTCACATATTTGAATCTATAAATATCGAATGAAACTATAGTTATATCGAAATAAAACTGTAGTTGTGTTGAACTGACACTGCAGTGTATACAAAATGACACTGAAGAACAAGGTTACTTTTTGCAGAAGGGTGCGAAACGGCGGAAAACAAACACTGTTTATTTTCATTTAAAAAAAAATACGCGCGATGCATGATTGATCATGCACCGTGGTGCATGATATAAGAGGGTGATCACGATTCGGTTTGAATCAAAAATTCAAACTGTAATCGATACTGTACTAATCGAACCAGAATCGAAACTCTAAAGTTTCAGTTCCGATTCCGATTATAGAAATTTTGGAACCGGAACCAGACGATTCCGGTTTGGAACCGTGAATTTTTAAAAATTAAAAATTAAAAATATAATATAATAAAATGGCCAGTAGGCCACTGGCCACTTTTGCCACGTCCAACAAACAACATAACATATAATTTTATTTTTTTATTTTTATTTAAAAAAAAATTCTGGTTAGAACCAGCGGTTCTAATCGGAACCGGCAGTTCCGAACCGAAATTGAACCGGAATCGAAACCGTGGTCATATCTATTCTTGTGGTAGCATTTTAAAAAGTTATTATTTTAAACTCTTCGTTCTATATACATTAATGTTTAAGTTTATAAATATATAGAACGGATATTCTAAACATAGTACAAGATAATATTATTAAATATGATGCATTGTTGATACTTAATATAAAACGGTATTATTTTGAACCAGGATCCACCATACAAGATGGACTTTGAATGATATAATTTGTGATATATTTGAAGATGGACCATACAAGATGGACTTTGGTATTATTTGTTGAGTGCTTGATATTAGCAATGTTTAATTAAACTTAGTAATAGATTTTAAAACATTGTAGCAATTATAGTCGACTAACAACTTTCTATATTTAGGCACAGGCAAAAGGAGAAATACATGGCTGTAGGGTCGCAAGAGGAGCACCTTCTATTACCCACCTTTTCTTTGCCGATGATAGTTTACTTTTTTTCAAGGCAAATGTGTAGGAGGCAGAAGTAATTAAACGATGTTTATCAGAGTATGAAAAGATGTCTGGACAGGCAGTCAATTATCATAAGTCAAATATTTGTTACAGCAAGAATACACGTGGAGAGATAAGGGATGAGGTTGCCAATATATTGGGGGTGGTGCAGGCTCAGAATTTTGGGAAGTATTTAGGACTTCCATCGTTTGTGGGCAGAAATAGGAGGGCAGCATTTTCTTATATTGAAGATAAGATAAGACAGAGGATTAGCTCATGGAATAAAAAATTGTTGTCACAAGCAGGAAAGGAAGTTTTATTGAAAAGTATAGTCCAATCTATGCCTACCTTTTCAATGTGTGTTTTTTTACTGCCTATGACTTTATGCACTGCTATTGAGCAAACCATGAATCGATATTGGTGGAGATCCAAGAATGACCAAGGTATACATTGGAAGGCATGTGATAAACTATGTATTCCAAAGAAGTATGGAGGTTTGGGATTTAAGGACTTACATGCCTTTAATCTTGCTATGCTAGGGAAGCAAGGGTGGCGTTTTCTGACACAGCCGCAATCATTAGTTTCGAGAGTTTATAAGGCCAGGTACTATCCCACTAATTCTTTCTATGATGCATGTTTGGGTAATAACCCAAGTTTTTGTTGGCGGAGTATTTTGGCGGCTCAGGAGTTAATTTGTGGGGGTGTGAGGAGGAGGATTGGGAATGGTAAAACAACGTTGATTTGGGACCACCCATGGTTACATGATGGAAACCACCCGAGAATACAAACAGAAAAACCACCCCAATTGGCGCAGGCAAAGGTGATGGGTTTAATGGATCAACAAACTGGAACCTGGGATCCGGATATTCTCACGGATATTTTCATATCGGAGGATGTGGAACGAATTAAAAAAATACCTGTGTCACCTGATTATGATGATTTGTGGTACTGGTATGGAGATCCAAATGGTGAATATTCTGTCAAGAATGGGTATAGGAAACTAGTGAGCAATTACTCCCAACCTCTAGGGACCTTTGATAAATGGAAGATTTTATGGAAACTCAAAATCCCACCAAAGTGGAAGACATTTATATGGAGAGCTCGGAGTAATATTTTGCCCACCACAAACAATCTACTTATAAAGAGGGTGGATATTGATCCAACATGTGCTATGTGTGGGGCTTCGCATGAGGATATTGTGCATTCTTTGATCACATGTGGCTATACAACAAACATTTGGACACAATCTCACCTCCCAATCCCCAATAGTGTCACAAATGTTTTCAGTGATTGGTTTAATGGTTTGATGAATATTTTAGATGATAATGTGATTATTTATGCAGTGGCAATTCTATACTACATTTGGCGTGCGAGGAATGGGGCTGTGTGGGACGCATGTTTGCCCAGGCCTCAGAAGGTAATTGCGATGGCGTCTTCAGCTGTACACTCTTGGAAAATTGCGCACCCGACACATACCCAGCCGCAGCCCAATGCGGCCGTGATGGATCAAGATGGAGCCCCAAACACACGGCTGCTAGTTGCCACAGGCATCACTGCCGAACCGGCAGAGAGTGGGCTGCCTTTGAGCAGCACTGTAATGCAGCCACACGGGCAGCAGCAGCCACTACCGAATGTGCCACATGCGGATCCCCTCAAGTGCTACTTCGACGCGGCATACGACCCACAAACGAACAAGGCAGCAGCGGGTGCAGTTATTCTAGATGTGCAAGGAGGATATATTTCCGCAATGACCACCCCTATGTCAGATTGTTTTACACCTTTAATGGCGGAGGCTCTAGCGTGCAAAGAAGTTTTGTCATGGTTGAGAGATCGCGGTATAGACTCTATCCAGCTCTTCACGGATTGTTTAGTATTACAACAATATCTATCATCTACGACTCGATCACCACGGTCTTACTTGGGCTATGCCATTGATAGCTGCAGGACTGGTATATTGGTTTTTGAGTGCTGTTTAATTCGATATGTTCCTAGATTAGATAATTATTTAGCTCATACTCTAGCATCTATTGCCTTTACTCAGACGACTATTATGTATTCGGACTCAAGTCCACCAGCTGCTATTTCTACATATTTTGAATAAATGCCACACAGGCTCCTTTCAAAAAAACAACTTTCTATATTTTATATGTCTTATTTACTATTGATTGGTCAAATTAATTTTTTATTTGTTATTTTCTTTAGTATTTTCTAATTAGTTTAAATTTGATTTGTTGTATTTTATAATACTTTTATATACTAATATTAAACTTTATATTATGAAAATTTAAATTTAAAATAACTTCAATCAAGTTAACCGAACTATATACACAAAATGAGATGGATGGAGTATGATTTAATATTGGGCTTCAAAATTACAAGTATTTATGGTGTATCCAAACAATTATTATTCTATGGATTATTGTCCACACAGCTGTGTGGACCGAAAATAAAAAGTACATTGTGTGGTAATAAAAGTATTTTATTTTGTATACTATCAAATAATGTACATTCAGTATACAAATAATGTACTTTTAGTATATTAAAAAAGTACTTTCTATTCATGGAGCGTACTTTATTTTGTATAATGTACATTTAGTATACAAATAATGTACTTTTAGTATATTAAAAAAAATATTTTTTATGATTCATACAGCATTGTGTGGATCATGGTTCACATCAAATTTTGTTGCATCCAAATTGCTAGATTTTATTATCATATAAACACTCCCATGTTCTGTAGGCAAATTATTGTGTAAAACGTGATCTATATAACTGTGTGGACTATGGTCCAAAACGACATCATTTTTATGTTAATAAAATAAAATTATTCCTTGCTCCACATGCTTGTTAGAACAATCAACATTTTGGGGTCAGATAATGTATTGTTGGTCCCGGTAGGTAGGGGTTCAAGTCTAGAGGAGGGGGTGAATAGACTTGAATAGGTTTTGAAAATTTTAACTATTCAGTTAAGTAGATCCAAAGGGTTACTTCTTCACAGTTTAACCTTTAGTTGAGTTTGCATAACGGAAATTTGTTTTTACCCCTTAGAGTTAGTTTGCACGTATTTTTGATATTGTAAAATTTAAGTTTGTTCGTGATGAGTATATGATGTGAATAATAAATAAAGTAGAGAGAAAGTTTTTTATAGTGGTTTGACAAACACGCCTACTCTACTCTTTTCCTACTCCTAAAATCTAATGAGGTTTGCACTATCCCAATACTACAAAAGACGACTCTTCTCCTAAAATTTAAGGAGATTTGCACTATCCCAATACTACGAAGGACGTTCAAGCCTTGCACTATCAAGGCGTTCCCTTAGCTTCTTCTCGGCTAGCTTCAGCAGCATCGGTCTTTTTTATATTATTCTCACACTCATTTTCTTGATTAATTTTACATCATTAATATTATTTTATACTTTTTATTTACAATTCACACAAATGTGTAACTCATGATCCATGAAATAATGATTGCCCAATCGTTGGCCACCTCTACTTGGTACATGACTTAGCAGTTACAACATAAAAGAAAAATAAAAAAATCAAATCACATAACCTTTCACATCATCTTGCAAAGGGCAACCTTAACCGCCACGCAGCGGCAATAATCCACAACGTGCACATGACACCTATTCTAGCACTTTTGGACCACTGACCACCAGCCACATCATACATTAAGAAGTCTAACCAATAACGAGCTTCCTTTCCGTAGTCCCGCCTACATTGTAAAACCCCGCTATAATTTAATAGAATTTCGAGTACCAAAATGCAAAAAACGCATTATATTTTTAGTTCTAAAAATCAGATATCCCGCTGCTTTGTACACAGTCGACAGATTAAGGAAAGTGCCGTAGTGCTTCACTGGACACGTATTCTCTCCGTAGCTCTCTTTCAGGAGAGTTTTTCTGAGGATTTTGTGCGAGAATTTGAAGGTTTTAATCACATCATGAATCGGCGAAACGATCCCAACCCTTTCGATGATGAAGAGCAAGAAGTCAATCCATTTTCGGTAACCGACTAACCGCCTCTTCGTTTGCCGCTTCTTCCTCTTTCGCTGCGGATTCTTAGCTTTTTCTTTTTCCTGGTTAATTTTCGTGCGATTTGTTCGTGTTTCGGGGAGCATTGCGTCGGTTTTGTGATCTAGATCTGAGAAGTTGAGCTTTAGAAGAATGTTTTAGTGCATTTCTGAATTAAAAAGTCAAGTTTGAGGGAGCTTTTGTGTCTATATTGCTATTATGGTGTGAAGTCCATGTTGGATTTTATAAAATAAAATGAAAGCTACAGAAATGTGAATTTTCCGAAAATTTATGTGAAGACGTTGTGATCTGAATAGTGCCTTGCTGTGGATGACAATGTTTTGCTCGATCTCTGTTTGCAAAACGTTATTGCTTGTGACTCAAAAAAAAAAGAGTATTGAAATTAAAACTGAAACAATGAAGAATTACTAAGTTTTCAAAAAATGAAGAATTACTAAGAAACAAAAAATGAAGTTAGAACATATAATTGAACTGTGAAGTGAAGCTTTCAGTGTTGTTAAATGCTGTTAGATGTTGGTAATGTGGCCAGTGGATTGAGCAAGTCAACAAGATATGTTACATTCGTAACCTATTTAAGTGAAGGGTGGAACATATATACTTAAGAGATATTTTTATTTTATAAAGGAATAAGATAAGATTATAGTTTCTTTCTTCCCATCATCCCATGCCTTTAGGGGGGACAGAGGCTTCACCTAAATCCTTGTAGTTCAAATGCAAAGAATAATTATTTTCATCGACCAACAAATTTTATGAATGCGGTAGAGCATTTAGATAGGTCATATACTTGATTGAAAACTGCTTCACTAAATTTTGAAATGGGTGAAATGTTTAAGATCATTATAACTAGTCATCAAGTTTTTATTTAATTTGTTATTTTTATTTTGTGGTAGATGGAAATCTGGCCTATGGATCTTATCATTGCTTGTGTTTGACTTGGGAGGATTTTTTTTTTTTCTTGGTGACTTGCACCATAATTTCTGAATGCAAGATATCCTTATCTTCTATGTCTTTCATTTGCAGAATGGTGGTAATGCTCCAGGATCAAAATCACGCATTCCTCAAATGGTTGCTAATACTCTTGGTTTTGGTCAGAAACATGATGCCACTGTTGATATACCACTTGATTCACTGAATGTAATGTAATTAATAATACAGCAGAGTTTTTTTTTTTTTTAAACAAATGATGCCACTGTTGATATACCAGTTGAGTCTGATGTCGTATAATTGTGTATTAGGACCCCAAGAAAAAACAGAAGGAACTGGCAGCTTGGGAAGCAGATTTGAAAAGGAGAGAAAGGGTCAGTTCCAAAGTTGTGTTTGAATGCTCATATTATGAGATCTGTTACATGTTAAATTTATTGAGAATCAATATCAGTTTCCTAGTGATCAAAAGAATTTTGAAAGACTGTTATACAGTTTTTTTTATTTTTTTATTTTTTTATTTTTATTACTTATGAGTAAAATCAAATATGGTTTTTGGTATCCCTTCTCGATGATCTGCTTAGATTTTTGAAGTACTGCTTGATTGAGTTTGGAGTGATATTGTGCAAGGTTACAAGTAGCTTCTAATTTTACAGGACATCAAGCGCCGAGAAGATGCTGTTTCTGGAGGTATACACAATATTAGTAATGATTCTACAGACCATTTTTCTTCTGTGGATTGATTTGTTCTGCTGCTTCATTTTAGCTGGTGTCCCCGTCAGTGATAAGAACTGGCCTCCTTTTTTCCCAATTATACACCATGATATAGTCAATGAAATACCAGTTGAATCTCAGAAAATGCAGTACTTGGCTTTTGCCAGTTGGTTAGGTATGTTCGTTTTTCCTTGTTTGTTTTGTTTTTGTTTTTGTTTGTAGCATTTTACCAGTTTGAGAATAGCCTTTTTCCAACTGTTTTTCTGTTCAATGTGATTAGTTAGGCTTCTTGTTGTCATGTTTGGGATTTGGTCTACCAAATGAACCACTGCTGTGCCATATGGAAGCCTCTGGATGAACCTTCCTCAAATGTATATAAAATTTCTTGCTGGCTTTAGTCAAGTTTAACTTATGTGAAAAATACTTCTCAAAAGTTTCCCAAGTATGAAACTAATTATTGCTAAAGCAACTATAACAAGTAGTCAAGTACTTTTCACTCTTGTCCATAACTTCACTTTTCTCAACAAGGACTTTGGTTTGACCAAAAAGAATGGATCAAGGCAAGAGAAGAAAAAAGTTTAATAACCTACTGGAGGTTGTAAGGATGTGGTTGAAAATTATTTGACTTATTAATTATTATTATTGAAGAGGAGAAAATAATTAAAATAATTATGCCTAGAATTGGGAGGGTAAAGAATAAAGTCCATGTTTGCTCTTGTGCTTGAACACCCTTTAGTGATTCAAACAGCCAAAACTGCATTCTTATTTTACTCATTATATCTTGTGAAACACCATATTATATGCTCTGCACACTTTATTAATCTTACCCTATCAATTTACATTAAGTTCACGTTTGAGCTTATCTTTGGTTAGGTTTGTTTGTTTGTTTGTTTGTTTTTTGTTTTGTTTTGTTTTTGTTTTTGTTTTTTTGTTTTTTTTGTCTTACACCGTCTTCTCCCACTCCAAAGGAAATGTGTTCATTTTAACTTTCCAATAAATGTCTGCACAGGTATTGTTCTTTGCCTTGTATATAATATTGTCGCAGTGACTGTTTGTTGGATAAAGGGTGACGGTGAGTTTTTTCTTCATTCCCACATTTCTTATGGCATTTTTTGGGTTGGGGCATTGGTTTTTATGGGAAACAGGTTGAAATGACTTCAGTAAATTGCTGACATCGCGTCTTCTACAGGTGTCAAGATCTTTCTACTTGCAATAATATATGCATTAATGGGGTGCCCCCTATCCTATGTTTTGTGGTACAGGCCCCTTTATAATGCAATGAGGTATCCAACATTGTCTTACCATCAATCCTAAAATTCGCAGCCCCCTGTATCCCAGATAGGTTCTACTTATTGTTATGAAAATGACTATTTTGCTACTTGTCTCAATTTCCAGGACGAACAGTGCACTCAAATTTGGTTGGTTTTTCATGTTCTACTTGGTATGCGTTGCTGACAAGCATTAAACTTATTTTTAACTTTACATATGGTTGTTACATAAGTTCTTAAATTTTCTGTTGCAGCTCCATATTGGATTTTGCATATTTGCTGCTATAGCTCCTCCAATTATCTTTCATGGAAAATCATTGACGTAAGTTTGTTTATGCTTTCTAAATTGACTTTGCAATACTGGAAGTAATGTTTTAAGAATGGTTTAGGCTTAACTAATTATGACATCTATGGGGACAATAAATATGAGCAACTTGTCCTCTTAGAATTGATTGTTGAGATGTGATGGTTACTGGTTAGTTGATACAACCACCCCTATGACACAACTTTAGTTTCAGTTCCTAGTGGGTATATCGATGCAAGCTCTCCTTTTAGAAGGGAGGTGCACAGGAAAAATTTTATTGTCTGAAATGCTATAAAATTGGTTTCTGTTCTTGAAACTTCATTTGCTAACGGTTGCTCAATCTGTTCCAGGGGCATCCTTGCTGCAATTGACGTCTTCTCTGATCACGTATTGGTTGGGGTAAGTTGCTGCAATTGACATCTTCCGAGTAGCATATATATCTTCGATATCCATATTGTTTATTTGCAGATATTCTATCTGGTTGGATTTGGCTTGTTTTGCTTAGAGGCATTGCTAAGCTTGTGGGTGCTTCAGGTTTGTGACTATAAAAATGGACATTCACACACCGTTATGTTCAGTACATAGTGCATTTGACTGCATTCTTGTGAGAATGGGTGCTTGGATTGTGTGCAAAGTTTTCTTTCCTTCTCTTCTATAACTTATTTGCAAACCCTATGTTTCAGAAGATGAAAGTCACGTGCATTTACATTACACTTTCATATCTGGCTTGCTTAAACCTTTCACATTACCTTTTCCCTTGTGCAGAAAGTTTACATGTATTTCCGAGGGCATAACCACAGGTAATCCAAGCTTTCGGTTCCTGATAATGATATTGTGTGGATATGTGAAGAAACAATATATCAAGGTGCCTCAGTATAGTCTGGTCTTATCTGATGTATTTGATTGAGTTATACCTACAGTCTTGTGTTTGTTGGCAGCATATTTTGTATAAAAGTTGTCAATGGTTTTAATGTTATGACCAGTACAATATATAGTTCAACCCTTCTTCCTTACTAATGCAATTTTGTGGCTATGAAGAAGAAAAAAATTGAAGAAGAAAGAAAAGAAGAGTAAAAAGACAAAAAAATTACACTAACATTACACCAACATTTTTTTTAGTAAATTTGTATCTAAACTCGACTTGTCTCACGAAAAATATCCGTGGTCTTATAGAAAAATCATCTTGTTTTGGGTTGACTTTTAAAGTAAATATTAATATTAAATTTGGTTTCGTTTATTATTATAAAAATTAAAACAAATATTTGGTTTGGCATTAATTTGATATCAAGCTAAATCTTTGAATGCGTGTAACCATGACGTTTTAGTAGATATTGTATCATATTTGAAATAAACAAAATTAATAATAAATATGAAGAATTATTATCTTTTTGATAAAGTTTGTTTTAAAAAATATTAATTTTTTTTGGTCAAACTGTTGTAACAAACCCTTTAGCATTTTTTTTTGAAAGCTACTGACTCTATTATATTATAGTATATGTTTATACATACTTTTTCAATTTGTTGAAACACACACTGCCTCTATTGAGGCTCAATCTCATGATCTCTCATATGAGAAAGTTACTACATGTCATCTGAGCACAAGATGCTTGACAACTCTTTAGCAATTAATTACTCTATAAGAGCAACTCCAACGTGTCTTCAAAACGGCAAAAATCATCGCCATTCCACAATCGCAGCAAATTTCACTTCTCCAAGGTGTGCCGTAAACGCGACAAATCGCCAAATTATTTGGCGTTGATGAAATGGACCATTTTCTCCTCTTTTTTTTTTTTTTTTTTTTTTTTTAATTCTAAATTTATCCGTTATATGTTTTAACATTGAATATATATTAATTAAAATTTCAAATGCATCAAACATAACTAGAACAGAATAAAATTATATATAATTTTATTATTTTGTTAAATACTTACGTAGAATGTTTAAAGTTTTTATTATTAAATATAAATTATATCATTTTAAAGATCGTATTGAGACAATCAAAACAAAATTAATATTGAATATATATTAATTAAATTTTAAATACATCAAACACAATTAGAACATAATAAAATTTAAAATACATACATTATAATTAAATGTACTGAATGTTTTATGCTACATTAATATTGGGAAATAAATTAGATTTTCAAAATCATTGTTAAATTCAATTTTTTTAATAATTAATGTTATAAAAATTAATGTTAATAAAAATTATTATTTACATCACAAGTTATATTTTATATTAAACTAATTAAATTCGAACTAATAATTGAAAAATCAAATTATTTTAGTGTAAAAATTTAGTATTTTGGTGTAAATGGGTGGAAGATGAATAAAATTTGGTATAAGAATAAGCTGAGAATATTCCTTCTATGTGATATTTGGTGGAGAAGTTTGATGTTTTGGTGTGAATTGAGTTGGAGTTGCTCTAATATTCCGATTTAAAGAAGGAGAAGTGCCAAAACTTAAATTTGGAAGGGAAGGGGAGAGAGACTTGACAATATAATATATAATATAAGGGAGGTGTATTCAATCATGACTTCCATAGAGTTTTAAAGACTTTTATGAACTTTAAAAGTTGGGAGGTATTCAATTCAAACTTATAGATAGTCTTTAAAAGTCAGGTGGTATTCAATCAAGATTTTTAAAGAGTCTTTAAAAGTCGTGTGGTATTCGATTAAGACTTTTAAAGAGTCTTTAAAAGTCATGTGGTGTTCAAAAAGTTATGAACTTTTATAGACTTTTTAATTTTAGGACTTTTGTAGACTTTTCCTTCTCAAATATAAATAGTTGAAATCCAACCATCAAGGCATCAACCCCAAGATTTCAACATTTTCTTTCTAAACTTTGAATATTTTCTCTATCTCTCTATTTAAACTCAATTTTTTTCCGTATTTAAACTTTATAAACCTATCTAAATTCAATAAAATTATTTTTTCCTTCATTTATCCTATATTTTCCTCATACCTAAACTCTACCAATTTTTCTCTCTCCTAAACTTTACAATCTTCTCTAAAACTTCGAAATACTATTATTTTTATTTCATTATTACTTGTTTATATTGATTTTTATTTTTTCTATGAATTTTTTATCTTAACTTTCTCTAATTCTCCCTAAATACATAAACAAAGCAAATTTTTTATCGTCAAGTTTTAGTATATGTTTCATAGTATTCATATAAATACTTATATAATTTATGTTTATATTCGTAATATATATTTTTCTTTTTTTTTTTAACAATAGGTTACTACAAATAGCGAACTAATGTTCGCAACAACAATTTGGGGTTGCAAACAATAGTACCTTGTTGTTGTTCGCACTCTCAAATTGCTATTGCAAATAATAGTTATTTGCGTGATGTCTAGCAATATATCAAGTATATATATTTTATATATATTATTAATATTAGATTTTTATTTTTTTTATTTTATGCAACTTGTAATTATATTTTTAAATATTTTATTTGATCAATTCTTTTATGTGGGTGAAGAACTATATAATTAGAATAATTTTATGATATATTATAAATGTTTTGTAAGAAAATTATAAATGATAAGAATCAAAATCATTGAAAGTTTGTAAGGATGTATTCAATTTAGAATTTCAATGACTTTTGTAGACTTTTTAAAATAAAAAGTTGATAAAAGTCCATAAATGTTTTTTATATAGACTTTTATAGAGTCTTATAAAGTTTTGAACAACTCTATGAAAGTCAATCAAAATTTATTAAAATCTATCATTTTAAAAGTCTTTAAAACTCTACTAAAGTCATGATCGAATACACCCCATAAGAATAGGATTCTTATACGAAAGACAACCTCGTAAAACAGAGACTAACCTTGTGGTTGCCATGGCCGAGACATCAACTCCAACTCAAACTCAAGAGAAAGCTAGGAAGCTGTGTTATAAGAGGAGGGCTGCTTGCATCATCAAGAAAGCTATAGAGTTGCAAATACTGTGCGGTCTCAAAATAGGTGTTGTTGCAAGCTAGAGAGTTGGCCCCCTAAACTCAACGATGCAAAGGCTTTACTCGATGCCTGCAAGGAAAAGTCTGGGGTTAAGAGACCGAAAAGAAAAGAAGATCCCGAGAGTAGTCGGGAAATCTTGGTTTCACTCCAGCTTTTGAACCAGGGGGAGGAGGAGTTCTTTAAGGGCAAAGAGATTGCAACAACCTCCCAAGGGGGAGAAACTCTGGTGAGAAGCAAGAAAAGGAAAGATTTTCATGAACAAGGGTGCCTGGAAATCTTGAATTCAAAACTGCAGCTTTTGACCACAATCGCGTTTCCCAAACTCGATTTTCCTAATATTGTCAAAAAAAAAAAAATTCCTAATATTGTCCATAACCCAATGCCACTTCCCATTTCAGTCAAAACCCCTCTGCCAATTCACCACCATCTGCTGAGGGCAAAAAATTCGTTGACTAAATGGATTAAATCATATTGTACAAAGACTTTATAATAAAATTATAATTATTATTATTGTTATTATTATTATCTTTGTTGTAGAAATGTACATTATATATTGGAATTATATGTTAGTTATTTTTTAAAATATAAATATCAAATTTATAAAAATATTTTACATTATTATTATTATTATCATTATTATTATTATTATTATTATTATTTACAATAATTTAAATATATAAAATTTAAATAATTTTAAGATTTTAATATAAAGTACTAATATTGGACACACCTATTTTTTACGCATCACGCATAAAAAATACTAGTAATAAAATAAAATTAGAGAAATTAAAAACTGGAGGAATGAAATTGGAAAACTGAAAGATTGGAGAAAGAAAACTGGAGAGTAGAAAAAGGGAAATGGAAAAACTGAGAAATGAAGTAAACGACCCCTAAAATTTTATCCACTAGAGTCGAGATTAAAAAAATAAACCTTTGATCATGAAACTGAAGTTGTTTGTCTTAAATCGTTTGAGGTATTATGAATAGGAATGAAGATATACCAGGTCTTTTCATAGGGCTTATGGTCTGGCCTATTCAGGTCTTCAAACTAACCCTTAACGTATTTTTCAACACTGATAAATAGTACTCCGTAATTTCTATCTAAACCCGACATGTCTCACGAAAAGTATCCACTATACGATCTTACAAAAAATCATCCTTTCCGGGGTTGACTTTTAAAATAAATATAAATATTAATTATTAAATTTGATTTCTTTTATCATAAAATTAAAACAAATATTTGGTTTGGTATTAATTTGATATCAAACAAAATCTTTGAATGTCTGTGTAACTATAGCTTTTTAGTAGGTAATGTATGATATTTGGAATAAACAAAATTAATAATAACTGAACAATGATTAGCTTTGAAGAGTTTGTTAATGCAATTTAAAAACAACTGCCAAATACCCTATAGACCGTTAGCAAATTAAATAAGGGAGAGTTGCCAAATCTTAGGAATCCTACCTGGAGGGTTCTGATTCGAAATTAAGTCATTAAAACCCCAGAGAGTAAAGACAACATCGTAAAACTTCTACACCAAGAAACAGACTAACCAAGAAACAGAGTGCCATGGCCGTGACATCAACACAAGAGAAAGTTAAGAAATTGTGTTTTGAAAGGAGGGCTGCTTGCATCATCAAGAAAGCAATAGAGTTGCAAATACTGTGCGATCTAAAAATTGGTGTTGTTATTCTTAGCCTGACGGCAAGCTGGAGACTTGGCCTCCAGAACTCAAAGACGCGAAGGCTATACTCGACGCCGGCAAGGAAATGCCTAGGGTTAAGAGCGAGAAAAGAAAAGGAGATAATCCTGAGAGTTCTCACTGGGAGATTTTGGTTTCAAAACTGCAGCTTTTGAACCAGAGGGTGGAGTTCCTTAAGGGTAAAGAGATTGCAACAACCTCCCAAGGGGGAGAAACTCTGGTGAGAAGCAAGAAAAGGAAAGACTTTTGTGAAGAAGGGTACCCGGAAATCTTGAATTCAAAACTCCAGCTTTTGAAGAAGAGGGAGATGATGTTCTTAAATCCTTCTGCCAATTCACCACCATCTGCATCTGCATCTACATCTGCTGAGGGCAAAGAGATTGACCTTTTTGATGATCTCGGGGGTGAATGTGATGACTTCTTCTTAAACTTAGAAGAAGAAGAAGAAGAAGAAGAAGACAAGAATCCACAAAACAATGGTGGTAATGCTGCAACATTCAAGGGCAAAGAGATTGACCTTTTTGATGATCTCGGGGGTGAATGTGATGACTTCTTCTTAAACTTTGAAGAAGAAGAAGAAGAAGACAAGGATCCACACCAAAATTCCTTTACTGCTTTAGGCAACGGTTTACTACCCACACCCACAGCCGCTGAAGAGTGTGGGGAAGTTCAGGTGAGGAAGAAAGCCAGGCTGCAATACCCCACTGCTCCTTTGAACAACAATCTGCCCCAATTTACCCATCACCCTGCTGCAGACTATTGGGAAGCTCTGTTCACTGATGCAGGATGGGTAAATTCTACTGATGCTATGCTGTCACTTCTACAAGACCTTTAATTTGCAAACCTTAATGTTTTTCTTTTCTTAATTTGAAATTTCAATGTTATCCATTCACCACAAACACCCCTTTCTTTTCAGTTGTTTTATTTTGCTAAAACTAGCATGGAAGGGCATTATGTAATAGATAGGGCATTATCATCTCATTATAGAGCTATCATACTTCAGCAATTAGCATCATATAGGGCATTATGTAATAGATAGGCCAAACAAGTAACTGACCTTTTATCTGTTCCAACATTGAGAAACCAAAAGAAACAGATGATTACCAATTGTAGAAATCCTAACCATATCTGATTAAATAAACAAAAAAGATTATGCATTTCCTGTTTTTATACATAGAAGGCATTCATTTGATATATATATTTGATGTTGAAGATGATTTCTATATAACTCTTAACTCTAAGTTTCAAATCTCAGATCACTCAAACACAGTTTATGTACATTTGTGATGAACGACAATATAGAAATCCACTCTAAAATAGCTTTTAATTGTCAGACACATGAGCCAGCTAGGTTTTGTAATTTCTAGAAAATAAACGTAATAAGAAAAACTCAATTCCCCTGTTTATGCATAAAAGATCAAAGAAGCAGAAGGAGACAAATACAAACTTTTGTTCACTAAACTCAATCTGAAACTTGAACATTGTTATCAAAGTCTACTATAAACTGCTCGAAGAAATGCGCCAGTAAGGAATAATTGCAACTGCTCACATAAATAATGCGCCAGTAACGATTGATAAAGCAAAACGGAAAGAAGTGTTGTATACGTACCTTGAATAAAAATGTCAAAAGCCTGCGAATTGAAGACGATGTGAGCTCAAGTCCATTGTCGAACTCTCGAAGACGACGTGAGCTCTGAGCTTCGTGGCTGCGCAATGGAGAGAGTGGAGACGTGAGGAGAGAGAGGCGCGAAGATGTTGGACATAAATAAAATATATTAATATATTGATACTTTTCAAAAGGTGCTAAAAGCGTTGTATTTTTAAATTTTTCAAGATAAAATGAATTCAAAATGATATAGTATCGTAACCATCAAATAAGAACAATGGTAGAACAGTTTGAAGTTTTAGAAGGGTGAGCAAAAGTTTTCAAGAGTAGAAAGACATCTCTATTTCTATCTCTCTCTCTCTCTATATATATATATATATATAAAAGTCAAACTTACAAAAAAAAAAAAAATGGTGAAAAAGTTTCTGCATGTGAAAAACGACGGCGTTTTGTATGCCAAGGGGATTTTATCAATTTTGTTAAAAATCCCGTCGTTTAAGAAGTATAAACATTCTAACTTTTGAAATTTCGATCATCCAACCTTTGATTATCTGAGTTGATTACCATTAATTCGTTTACTTATTTACAGTCCAGTTTCGTATCCACCGGATATTACAAAGATTGTTTGCAGTATAACTATAGGTCAAAAAGTAATTAAACTTTACTCTTTAATTATAAAAAGTTCTAATTAGACACCTCAATTCCTCACTTTGATGCAATTTAACTGATAACTTCTTAAAGTGATCCAATTAGATCAATTCATAAGTAAAGTTAAGGTAATAACAATTATGTGTTGATCTAATATTTCTTTCAAAATAAAATTAATTTTTTTTTTAAAAAAAAAACATAAATTGTCGGCTTCTCCGTCAATGGAGAAAGAATGAGGCTTCTCTGTAATTTTTTTTATTTATAAAATTATTTATTTATTTGAATTTTAAAAATATTTTAAAGTTTTTATTTTTTATTTTTCATTTATAAATTATTTTTTTAATTAAAAAACTATTTTTACCAGTTACTTGAAGGTAAGTGGTTAATTAGCTCAATTACATTAAAATGGAGAGATAATATGTCTAATTAAAGATTTTTATAGTTTAGACATTTATTTACTTTTTGCCTTATAGTTGAAGATTCTATTCGACCTTTTCCCATTTTCCATTTCTTATAGTATTTAAATCATAAAAAAATTACTTCCTGTGATAGAAAATCGAAAGCAAATTATGAAGGGGAGAATTTAAGCAAATTATGTTGTGCATCCGTATGCACCATGCATGGTGCATAAGGATGCAAAAACGACGTCGTTTTATTAAAAACGCGCGTCTCCCCTTTTAAAAAAAAAATCAGGTTCGATTCCCAGCAACAACATATGAACTAAAATTCCAGAATCGATGAACTATAATTCCAGAATCTATGAACTAAAATTTCAGAATTTAATCTATGAACTAAAAATTCCAAAATGAATGAACTAAAATTCCAGAATCTATTAACTAAAATTTCAGAATCGATGAACTACAATTCCAGAATCGATGAACTATAATTCCAGAATCAATGAACTAAAATTCCATAACCTATGAACTAAAATTCCATAATGAATGAACAACATAATGTTGTTGCTGAGAATCGAACCTGATTTTTTTTAAGGAGAAACGCGCGTTTTTAATAAAACGACGTCGTTTTTGCATCCATATGCACCATGCATGGTACATACGGATGCACTGCATAACTACTCGAGAATTTAACTTTGGTAACTTAATAGTAGTTTAACACTTTGAACTAAAACTATACTGAAATCTGTTAATTGCCACTGAAGGCGAAGGAATAATGCCTATAATGGCATGTGCAAGTCACTTTCCTTTTCAAACAAATTGTTGTTCATATGTGGGAATAAAATAAAAAATAAAATAAAAAACAGAATAAACGTCAATGTCAAATATTATAATTATAATTTTAACTTAATGCTAGTAACAAAATTAAGTTGGCCTTAATTTGTTGCGTGTTACATTTATTTTGATTCCCACATATAAGCAATATAATAATTTGTTGGAGAAAGAAAGAGATTTAAAATACCTATAACAATCCGAATGCTCATTTAACATAAATAAGAAAAAATTGTCACTTTTGAAATAATTGAGTAGATTGATGGGGATATGGGATCCGGGGGGTTCATTTTATTGGCATAGTATTGACCCAAGTGGGGGTGGTGATGATAGGAGATTGACCCAAGTCCTATTGGGCTAAGAAGACAAGGGGGCGTGGTGGCCCAAAAAGAAGAGAGAAGACGTTTCCGGGCAAGAAACACCGCCGGCGGCCGGCAACCGACCGGCCGGGTTCCCGGCGGCGAGGCGTGGCCGGCAGCGCCCAGGGAATGGGGCAGGTAGCATGGCACTTAACTACAGTAAAAGGGGCAACCGACCGGCCGGGTTCCCGGCAGCGCCCAGGGAATGGGGCAGGTAGCATGGCACTTAACTAGAGTAAAAGGCATAGACGCTATCAACAGGGTTTAAACCCACACCCTCCAGCTCAGCAGGCGCGCACCATACCACCAACCCACGTCAACTATTGTTTATTGAGACGCGGCAATTATATATAACCTATATATGCGGGTAGGGCAGCCTCCACCACCGGCCATGGCCGGCCGGCGACTGGTCGGCGGCGGGTCCCGCCGGCCACCTCAAGCCGAGGCGCGGCCAGTGGGGGCAGTGCGCCCCCCAGATTGTCAACGGCACCCCCCCCCCCCCTTTCCCGAGGGGGTGCTGGGCGGGTGCGCCGAGCATGGTGGACCAGGGTGGCATGCGCGGGAGTTTTAGAAGTATGGCGAACGTGCCCGCTTGCGTAGCGATAAATGGGGAAGTGGGGATGGATTGCATGGGACACGTGGACGCCAGAGGAGGAGGGGGGCTTGCTATAAATAGGGGCCCTGGATCTCTGGCTAGAAAAAAAGCAGGACACGACAGGCACACTAGTCCAGTGGTCTTGATCCCATACTCTCAATCCAGTCACCCGAGTTCAATTCCAAGTAGTAGCATAGTTAGCAATAGCCCATCCTGTGGGCCTTATTCTTTGTATTGGGGCCATCATTCTGGGCTTGTACCTCGGGCTTTGTACGTATTGTTTAGGGCCTAGCGCCCCGGGTAATAAAGTCAATACTTTCATACCCCCGTCCTATGTTCCTATACCTGGTTTATGGTGGACCCGGTCCCAATAAAACCATCATTAGCACCGTCTGTGGGGCTCGCTACGATTAGCCCGTGTTTGTAGTCTCTACCATCCTAGCAAGGTTCCGAGGTACGCCCAAATGGTTGATTCGCAAGAGGAGCTACCCTATAAGGTAACACACTTAGCACATCGTGACGCTACTCTGGTGAGTACACTTGAACACTTAGTTAGGTAAAGATTGTGTTTATTTTCCCGAACTATGTGCCCCTATGTGCTCCTATGTGCTCTGCATGCTTGGCCCACAGCTACCTCAACTATATGTTCATATGTGGTCTGCATGCTTGGCCCGCGGCCACCTCAACTATATGCTCATATGTGCTCTGCATGCTTGGCCCGCGGCCACCTCAACTATGTGCTCTGCATGCTTGGCCCACGGCCACCTCAACTATGTGCTCCTATGTGCTCTGCATGCTTGGCCCACGGCCACCTCAACTATGTGCTCTTACGTGCTATGCATGCTGGCTCTACGGCCATGGCGGATGGGGCATGTGGGTTATCGCAACCCACATGCGCGAACTTGCTCCCGGCAAGCCGCATGGTTTTGGCGGATGGGGCATGTGGGTTATCGCAACCCACATGCGCGGACTTGCCCCCGGTAAGCCGCATGGTTTTTGGCGGATGGGGCGTGTGGGTTATCGCAACCCACATGCGCGGACTTGCCCCCGGCAAGCC